GATAAAAAACAAAATTCAAAAAAAATAGCCCGGAACTAAAAAGCTCGTTTAGGCCAATGGGCCCGCCCCATTTAGCCTGGGACCATGTGGGCTTAGGACCACAGTGGGCCGATCCCACCCATTTGGACCGTTAGTCCCAGGACCGCCAAAGTCCGGGACCGTTTGGCTCGTTTAGGCCCGGGCCCGAACCACAATACAGCCTTATCGTATAGTAACAATTACTATTCGTTCTTAAGTATCAAACCGAATCCAACTGCTCACAAGCAAACAAAACAAATCTATCAAAATGTTCGAAACAGAAACAATAACAAGGAAAATATAAACATAGCTTTATGATCAAATCCAGTCATAAACTAAGCCTAAGATTATAAGAAACTAATTAACTGCATATAGAAAACACGACTCTTAATTCGCCGAAATTGGCATCTATACATAATTTATTTACATAGAGTGGTCATCTTTGATTATAATAAGTAGCGTCAAGTCTTATTTCCCTATATATATAACAACTCTATGAGGCATTGCCATAGCAACATTTGGTAATTTCTTGCCTATACAGACAGCAAAATTTTAAGCCATGGCCAAAATCAGTGGTCTATTTTCTGTAGCTGCATTTCTCATGATATTTGCACTGGCGACGAAACAATCGTCCGCTTCAATCGTAGTAATTGGTACGAATGAAGCAACTCATCGCAAACTAGGGGCACGCCAACTCGAACTTACAAGCTTACCAAATACAAATGAAGCAACTTTTGGTGGATCAGGACACCGGTATTCTTACATTTCAAGCTTGTCAGCTCATGCAAATGCAATTATAACTCCTCAAGATGGAATTATAATTGCAAATGAAGCGACTCCTCTCAAAATTGGGATGCGCCACGGTGTAATTACAAATGAAGCAACTCCTCGCAAACTTGGGGTACGCCAGGGTCTAATTACAAACTTGCCGAATACAAATGAAGTAACTCATCGCAAGCTTGAGATACGCCAAGGTGGAATTACAAATAAAGTAACTCCTCGCAAGCTTGGGACACGCCTGGGTGGAATTACAAATAAAGCAATTTCTCGCAAGCTTGGGGCATGCCTGGGTGGAATTACAAACTCATTGAATACAAATGAAGCAACTCATCGCAAGCTTGGGATATGCCAGGGTGGAATTACAAATGAAACCACTACTCACAAGCTTGGGGCACCCCTGGGTGGAATTACAAACTCACCAAATACAAATGAAGCACCTCCTCGCAAGCTTGGGGCCCGCCATAACGCGGTTACAAGCTTGCGTAATGCAAATAAAGCAACAAACTTTGGTGGATCAAAATACCAGGATTCTCCCATTTCAAGCTCATTAGCTAAGACAAGTGTAATAATTCCTAAAGGCCCATTTATAATTACAAATGAAGCAACTACTGGCAAGCTGAGGAAACGCCAGAACCCAATTATAATTACAAGCTCGCCACATACAAATGAAGCAGCTGATTCGTTTGAATCAGGGCTCCATTATTTCCACATCTCAAGCTCGCCAACTCAAACAAATAGAGTATTTCCTCGCGATCCAGATGAGACGGGACATGTTTCAAGCTCGCCAACTCAAGCAAATGTAGTTCTTCCTCGTAAACCAGGGATGGGACACGACGACTAGGGGATTGTTTTTCTCCCATCAAAATTGTACCAACCAGTACAGTTTGAAGTAACTTCACATAATTACTAATGGTTGCTCGATCGAGCCCACTATGTATAATAAGTATATGTTCCATGAGAGATCATGGTTATCTTGTATATGTATATGTGTTGTATTAATACTATCTATGCTCTGTGTGTTTTGTTATCTTCCATTCTAGCTGCATAGAGAGCATGAAATCTTAATTTGCCGAAATTGGAATCTCTACATATACACATTTTAAAGGACCTTAAAACTGGTCACTTTCATATTATTTTATAGAAGAGACAGAGCATATGAGCTGAGGACTCAACAGCACACAATCAGAGGCAGAGGCAGATTCGGGATTTGAAGTTTGTGATTTCCTACGGCGACCTCAAGTTAATACTACAGTAATAAATGGGTTCACAATCAAATATATGTGGATATTCAGTGCATTTCATGAGCTGTTATTCAGCTAGTGATTCGATTAGGCCAAATCAAGCAAATGCAGTAACTCCTCGCAAACTAGGCGCACGCCAGAACCCAATTACAAGCGCGTTTAATATAAATGAAGTAATTTCTGATGAATTAGGGAACCACTATTCATCTAGTGAATCGAGCTTGTCTACTCAATCAAATGCAGAAATTCCTCGCAAACTAGGGGGACAACAACAACTACTATTTCCATGCCTCAGTCTCAAACAACTTGAGGTCGGCTATATGAATCCTTGCAAACTAGGGGATAACAACAACAACAACTACTACTACTTCTATACCTCAGTCTCAAACAAGTTGAGTTTGTTTATATGAATCCTCAGAAACTAGGGGGACAACAACAACTACTATTACTTCTATACCTGAGTCTCAAACAAGTTGAGGTTGTTTATTTGAATCCTCGAAAACTAGGGGGACAACAACAACCGCTATTACTTCTACGTCTCAGTCTCAAACAAGTTGAGGTCGCCTTAGTCTTTCAACTATTGATAAATTCTGACTTTAGTCTTTGTGATATCTGACTAAGCATATTTAACTTAATTGGAATGTGCACTTTTAATCCCTCTCCTTGGGAATATTTACAAATTTACTAGAATTGTTTATCGTTCTACCATTTAATTATCCATGTATTATGTAAAATTTGTGTTATTACTCCATATTTGACGATAATATGATTCTAAACATAGCCCAATTACTATAACATATTTCTTACATATAGGGACCAAAAACATACATTTTAATTAATTGAAGATTCAATGTGTTGAGTCATATATTACAAGGACAGAAATAAGAATTTACAAATAACCGAGGGACCAAATTTATAGTTACACAAATTTCTAAAACTTGTTTCAAAGGACAAGCTTCTAAAGTGTTACATTTCTTTCGTGCACGTAAATTGAAACGAAAAAAATATACAAATATACATTCATTATAATTCTATATAACTAATAAGTGAACAAAACTACCCTTAAGTAAAGGGATTTTAACATATTTGATTGGTCGGTTATAAATAATTATATCTTCTAGCCAAATATAAAAGGGAAAAGGCAAAAATTGTCTCTATACTATCGAAAATTAGTCACGTTTATACCCGTTTTTACTTTCGGTCCAAATATACGCCTACCGTTAGTAAAGTAGACAAAATCATCCCTAACCCTAACAGAAGTCCACCATGGCAGCGGGACCCTTCTCTTAAACTGCCAACTAGGCAAATATTAACCCAAATATTAAAGATCCATGCCCATTTCTTTGACCCATGCTCATTTTTTTGACCCCTCCCTTCCAATTTATACTCATTTCTCTTTACAAATCCATACTCGATCCACCCACTCCCCTCAACTGTTTATTCTTTATTCTTTTTATTTTCATTTTTTTCCTTTACATCCTTATCTTAGCACAATTCCATTCAAAATCAGAAATCTAAGCAAACTTTCTGGCAAAATGAAATGACAAAAAATTCGTCACTGGAGCTCTAACTTTCCAGATTCAAGGCACAAAGATTTAACCAATTCTAATTTAAATAACAAGTTGCAACGTCTTCGGCAGATCAGAAAAAGTGGATAAAATACTCTTTCTTTTTTCCGATCAAGCTCTAACAAAAGGGTACAAATGATAAAAAAAAATCTGATCAGGCGCTGGTCTCTCCATCTTCAAATCATCATCTTGGATTCATAAAAGGATTATAATGAACCAAAGGTCCCAATAGATCTAAAATCACCAGTGAAGCTGGATTTTCGACCAAATTCCGATGAGTATCTTCACTGATGACAAGACAGAGAAAGGAGAAGTTGCCGAAGCTTTTTCCGACCTAACTCCGATGAATTTCTTCACTGATAGTTCTTAATCATGCTTGAACATCTGATTGGAGCACACTACAAGCTTTAAGATTTGAGAATAATAAAAAGAGAAGAAAAGAAAATATAGGGTGGACGGGGAGATGGAAAGTGACGATTTGGGAAACAAATTTTTATATTTGGGCGGTGGAGAGGGCAGATGACATGGCATAAGAGATGGGTGTGTTGGGGGGTCTGGTTTGCCGGCGAGCTTTGGTAGAGAGATAGAGAGTGAGAGAGAGAAAGGTGGGACCCATAAGGTATTTTTATAAGTTGGTTAAAGAAATAGGCATGGACCTTTAATATTTGGGTTAATATTGCCTAATTGGCAGCTTAAGAGAAGGGTCCCGCTGCCACGGTGGACTTCTGTTAGGGTTAGGGATGATTTTGTTTACTTTACTAACGGTAGGCGTATATTTGGACCGAAAGTAGAAACGGGTATAAACGTGACTAATTTTCGATAGTATAGGGACAATTTTGGCCTTTTTCCCAATATAAAATGTATATATTGATTATAAAAATATATATATATTATATTCAAATATAAAAATATATATGTTTTGACTATTATTTTAAGGGCTATTAAACTGTATATCCCAAATAAATTCCGGTTCTTTAACCTTTATTGACACCTTACTTTCCCTTTTTCCTAAGACAAAATAAGAAAATTCCAACCGCTCTCCAAATAATAACCGAAAAAGTGTATATTTTATGTATATATATACATTCTTTATGTTATATATAAAAAATATACAAATTTTATTTATTTTTCGACTACCGAATATAAATAGTTTTTGGCGCGGGCTAAAAGTGATAATACCCTAAATTCCAATAACATTAATTTGGACTTAGAAATAAAGAAGTGGGTGCCACGACGTCGTATAGTCCACTTATGTGTTTTTTCCTGCTGATCTCTCTCTACTGAAGAATGAATAACATTAAAACAAGAACTGCAGAATAAATTTTTTTAGAGGAAAATGACGACTTCAAATTTGGAAGTTCCTTTGCAAGTTCCCACCTTTCATCANTGAAATTTGATGCATAAATGATGATACCCTTTTGGTTTAAAGACCTAATTTTTAAGTGAATTTCACAGCTGAATAGTTTTAGAAAGTATATATGAAAATTGGTCAAGAAAGCTGGTAGGACACCACTGTTACGAAAACCAAATATATTTGTGAAAATTTGTAAATGAATAAAGAACGAGCTGAAATTTTCTTTGTAATGTGAATTAAACAGTTGAAGCCATAGTTTGTATTGTTTTTGGTTTGGTCGGGTTTACCCACCCGGTGTCCGATACCCTCATTGGAGCCCAACTATATCCGGATAAGGCCCACTCAAGGGGGAAATGCTCCCTAACAGGATTTTTTTTCATATCCAGAGCTCGAACCCGAGACCTCTGGTATCTATCCCACCGCACACCATTTCGGTAGTTGAAACCATAGTTGAATGAGTAGAAAAGTGGAATAATTATTTTTTTAGCTAAAAGAAGTAAACGTACTAGTACTATTCTTGTATTTTCTTATTCTTGGTTCTTTATTATTACATGTTGTATCATTCGCTTCCGTTACCCTATTACATTATTGTTACTATTGTTTGTTGCTTTATTTTTTATTGTTTCTTGAGCCGAGGGTCGATCAAAAACAGTCTCTCTACCTTTATAAGGTAGGAGTAAGGCATGCGTACACACTACCCTCCCCAAACCCCACTTATGAGATTACACTGGGTTCTTTGTTGTTGTTGTAAAAGAAGTAAACGAGATAATAACTTGTCAATCTTTTATTTGGTTGAGGAAGTTTAATGTACTAGTGCAAAATAAATTGAAGGTATATTCTGAGCTTATTCAGGAAGAAATTTATCTCCCTTTGTAAAAATATATGGTCATAGCAAGTAGGGAACTTTTGAAACCTGTGGAATCTCTCTATTTAGAATTATTCAACCTAAGTATTTTTCTTCTCAAATTTGACATGTCCGTTTTTAGTTTCCATTCACTTTAAGCTTACGTGCTGAGGATATAGAGGATTCATATGACCCAACTAATTTAGAATTGACACAGTTGATAGAGTGATTAAGATTATCTAGCACTAATGAGAAGTGTTTTCTGTCTGCTTTCTATATTTACTTTTTATTTCAGCGAGGAAAACGTCTACCTGCTATGCAAAAAGCTATGTGATGATGGGCTGGCAAATACCGATGGTTCTGATCTGTTTATTATTTTCATTTCCAATGAGAAGAAGCAGGTAACTACTCTTTGCTCTTCCTTTGGTTACTCGTTACTCTCTTAAGAAGTTCATGCACTTCGATGATACTTCATTTCAGTGAAAATGATACTCGTATAAGATGTGTTTTGCTACTAGTCATGGTAATGTTTTCCGTTATACTAGCGAATAGTTTACTGGATAACAAAATGATGTTAATTACAAGCCTTTGTTTGCAAATAGAATAGACTAATTGTTTATAACATTTGATGAACTTGGTCTTTCGCATTTTGCTTGCCATTTGACAATTCTTTGTATTACATTAACAGTTCAATTTGTCTCTCTATCCCCAACTCCAACAAATAAAAAAGGATGAAGGGAATTTCATGTATACCCGTATCTGAAAATGTTCCAGGGCACTTAAATGAGTTAATGATAAATATGACTTAAACTTTCTAGTATTTTGTTGCCTTCCAGCTTAGTTGGTTTATAAAGGAGAGAGACGGAATGGACGACAGTTAAGTTGTTCCTAGAAAATGTGTTGGGCATATTCACTAGTTTAATGACATGCTTTCAGATTCCTTTGTGGCATCAGAAGGCTAGCCAGCGAGCAGAGGGAGTTATTCTGTGGGACTATCACGTCATTTGTGTACAGGTCAGATTAACCTACTTAGTTCTAGTATAAGCTGTAAAGCTATTAGGGATTTCATGTCCTTAAGTATATCTGGTTGCAATGCTAATGCAGAAAAAGGGAAATGAGAACTCTTCATCGCTAGTGTGGGATTTAGATTCAAGCCTTCCGATTCCATCTCCTCTTGGCTCCTATGTTGCTGAGAGCATTCGTCCATCAATTCAAATATTTTCAGAATTCAAAAGGTAATAACTTTTCTAGTCCCAAGACGAAACATGACTTCATTGAATACATCGATAAAGCTACATATCACTAGAACTTTTGTTCTTAAATGAGGAAGAACTGTTATTTCATTCCCTTCCGTAGTTCCGTTGGAGCTAGATATTTCATATGTGCTCAAATTTAGAATTCTTAAACTTGTGATGCAAAAGTAGTTGTACTGCCTTTCTGTGTGTTATTCTTCGTTCCCGCCTGATGTCATCCTGACCTTAAAACGTTTCTAACTTTCCTTCATACTACATGTTAAACATTTAAGCTCTACTTAGTGAATCTCATTTTTCTATTTATGTTTAATAAATTAGCTTTATTTGTGGTCGATCCTGTAATGGTGGTCTCATGAAATAAATAATGCTCCTTTACTGACCTCTCTGAAGAAATAACTAAAATGTTTTTCTTCTGGTTTTAAGCAATGTTGCCAATATCGTGCATGGAGTAATAAGCTAACTGCAACCACATGAACCAAAATTGGCAATTTCAGGTTCTTTCGAGTTGTGCATGCCCCTATATTTCTCCGACACTTTGCATCTGATAGAAGACACATGAAGGATTCTGCTGGAAATTGGATTGCTGAACCGCCATTGCACGAAGCTATTGTTGCTGAAGGTAAATACAGGAAATAAAAGTTCACAAAATTATGCTTTTGCCATTTGTTGGTAGCGGGTAACTTCATTTTAATGAATGAAAGGACGTCTAGGTTAAATAATTGTTGCTCTCTTAAGTCGGGCACTTATTAAAGTTTCATAGCCTGCATGTTACTTTAGGCACCTAAACTCTGGTTATCTATGCATAAAAAACTCTCTTCAAAACAATTTATGTCTTACAGTAAAAAATAGTGGCATTTCTTTAATGCGTTCTGCATTTATGAAAATACTCGGGCCATTTTGAAATTCTTAGAAGTTCAAGGAACTTTGGTGATTTCTCAAAGCATACCTTTCAGTGAACCTAATCATGGATCACCTTTTGAATTATATAGTTGAAATCCTCAAAGTTTAGCTTCTCAGAGTGTACCTGAATATGTTCTGTATAAAGGTTCATTTAGGATCTATGGTTTCCCTAGTAGTTTACACATTGGAAACTCTAAATAAGTTTAAACATCATTATTTCTAGAAGAAGATTAAGGGCAGCCAGGTGCACTAAGCTCTCGCTATGCGCGGGGTCCGGGGTAGGGTCGGACCTCAAGGATCTATTATACGCATCCTTACCTTGCATTTCTGCAAGATGCTATTTTCACGGCTCGAACCCGTGCCCTCTTGGTCACATGGCAACAACTTTACCAGTTATGTCAAGGCTGACTCCCCTTCTGGAAGAAGATTCATACTAAAAAATTTCAGAGCTAGGATAGTTGAACCTTAATTGACGAAACAACTTTATCTTCATGTTTTGGCTCAGTAAGGTGTAAAATAAGTCGCTACGACTATGGTTGTTTCCTGTTAACTCGGTGTGCAGAGGGAGTCACTTCAAACACGGGGGTATATTTCTTCTCCGTTCTGATTTTAAGTTTATTCTGATCTTTGGTATGTAAACATAACTTTGTTCCCTCGATATAATTTTCAACTTAGAAATACTCAAATGCTTCTTCTAATTCGATTGTTCTCTTTTCACTTTGGTTCATTATCGACGTAATAAATCTCAATATTACCTTTTCGCTTGACAGTCGATTAGTTTGCTCCACTTAAACTTGCTGCACTACATTTGGATATGTTACTGTATCCCTCATCAAACTAACTACCAGTTTGAACCAATATATCTGAGCTAGTATTTGTTCATTGTTAAAATAGGGAAGAACAAATTTACATTAATTATAAATCTGATAGGTAGCTCATGTGATCTAGGGTCATTTGGTGCATTTAGTGAGAAAACATGGTGACCTCTCGTTTATTTGAGCTATAGTTGCTTATTTCGTTTTGCATTTTCCTTGTACAGATGGAACCATACACAACCTGAACGAGTATATTACAGTCTCTCCAGACGATGTTGTGAAAAATGTCGGAGCTGATAATGTCAATGTCGTTTTCGCCGAGAAACTTGGCATTGTAGTTGGTGAAAATGATTTAATGGAATTTTTCTCTTTGATTCCCGATGAGAGTTGAATAATGTACTAGCTGAAAGTTGAATTCATGCTCTAGGATGTTTACATTTGTAAAGAAACCGAAAAAGAAGTGCCTTGTGGTAATTTTGCAAATAGAGGTTGCTGTGGATTCCTCTCGAGCCGAGGGTCTTTCGGAAGGTCTGCGTACACTTTACTTCCTGTGGGATTCCACTGGATTGTTGTTGTTGTTGTTGTTGTTGTTGTTGTTGAGCTGGTGTGGATGAATTGTTGTTTTACCATGTTTGACCAAGTCTTTTTGGGGGGTGATATTTTATTTTGTAGAACTTCTGTTGACATTTTCTGGTGTTAGTAAACATGGTTGAAGGGGAGGGCATACCATATTGTGTAGTGATTTCTTCAAAATACTACATTCTCATGACTTATTAGAAATTTCTCAACTACATTTTTTCCTTTTATTAATGATGATGTTCGGGCCAACTTGTGCGCGCCATAACTATTCCACTGAATATCTACTTTCTCCCAGCAACACAGGTATTAGCTAACTCTGGTCACTAAGGCTTAGACAAGCAGAAAGAAACCACATGTTTAGTTTTAACTATGTTGAACCCTGGTCTCCAATGTTTGAACAAGCTTTTAGCTATATTTTTCACCACCTTCTCATTGTGCTCTAGAAACCTGGAATGCGACCCAAAAAAAAGGGAGTCTGAATATTCAAGAGAGATTTTAGCGTTAATCACTATAAATTCTAAGAACACTTTAATCTTTTATCCGTTCTTTCTTAAACTTCATGTCAACTCAAATAACACCATATAAAATGAACTCGAACAACGCCATATAAAATGAAACAGATAAAGTAGACAATAGTAGAGTTTATAATCAATACAATTGTTACCACCAGCCATAAGTGGTTTATTTTCTTGAATCCTATGGGCCAAATTATGCTCCTATCAATTGTGGGAGAAACTGTGGGAGAATTCGTCTTCATTGTGAGATAATTGGTAATAATTGATTCAAAAGTCTCTATCGATGCTGTATTATATTTCTTTTTCATCATGAGTTGGGGCACTTTGAACTAATATTTTCTTTTACGTAATTATGGACACATTAGCTACTAATTTGTTATATACACAAATGTAATTTTTTTTACACTAACAGTATAGTTTAACTTGTGATAACAGATTATTTGTTATTTTACCTAGGGATATAAGTTTATACGTTGTCAATGTAAAGATCTTTTCATATCACCGTATTTTAATTCTATGTTATATCATTTTTATTATGATACCAATTAATGCTTATTATATAGATTTACATGCAATTATCTTATAAATGACCTCAAACAACAACAATATTTCAGTGAAATCACACAAGTAAGGTCCGAGGAGGGTGAGTATATGCAAACCTTACTTCTTCGTTGTGATCGATAGAGAAGTTATATTTAATAGACTCTTGTCTCAACAAAAATATTTTCAAAATCGGTTGAAAATGTCTTATAAATAATCTAATTAATACTTATCATATGAATTTGCTTGTAAATTCACATATATACTCAGTAAATTCTTAGCCTCAGAATAAAAAGCAAAGTTACTCTGTTTGGCATATTCCAAAATGTGGAATTGTACAAGTGTAATATTTTTTAAAATTTTTATACAAGTTCCAACTCCATTTATTTTACTTTTTATTTTTATTTTTTAACAAAACTTGCTTGGTAGTTTACCTGGCAGAAAAGTAAGATACCTGGACCCATTGAGGTTCACACATAAAATATCATTTCCTTTTCACTCAGAGTCACAAACTCAAAAAAATCAGAATTTTTACAAACAAAAAGAAACTAAATGACTCACCAAAAAATAAAATTAAAAAAAAAATTCCCTATTTTCTCTCTCATCACAATCCACACTCCACACTCCCTCTTCTCTCTCTGCCCATTCCTTTATTTTAGGAAATCTAAACTGACCAATAGAAACTCAAGAATCATCATCAAACATGACCCCAATCAGATAGAAAATACAACAAAAAGGTACAAAATCTCATAATTTTACTTCCAACTTTTTGATACATACCCTTCTTGCCACGTGTCCCTTTGTCTCACCACTAACTTAAACCCCTCAAATAAAATAAAAACAGCTATATTTTCACTCAAATTTCTTAACTTCCATAACAGCCACTACTCTCCACATAAAACTATAAACTTAGAACATTTCACTTGAAAAAAAAGAGAGAAACTGAAGAACAAATCTTTTCTCAAAACACAATCTATAGGAAGTTAAATTCAACTTCCACACTCCCAAGATTCTTGTTTCAACTTTCTTTTAGTCTTTTTTCTTGGTTTTTTTTGAGTTTTTTATACTCTTCTGTACATTTTGTGTAGAATCAAGAAACCAAAGAGTTAAAGTTTGAAACTTTTTTACAAGTTTGAAACAATGGCTTCTTTGGTTTCTTCACCATTTACATTACCAAGTTCAAAAGTTGAACATTTGTCATCCATTTCTCAAAAACATTACTTTCTTCACTCATTTCTTCCCAAGAAAACAAACCCCACTTACTCAAAATCACCAAAGAAATTCCAATGTAATGCTATTGGCAATGGTTTATTCACTCAAACAACTCAAGAAGTTAGGAGAATTGTACCTGAAAATACTCAGGGACTTGCTACTGTGAAAATAGTGTATGTTGTATTAGAAGCCCAGTACCAAGCATCACTTACTGCTGCTGTTCAAACACTGAACAAGAATGGTAAGTTTGCTTCTTTTGAGGTTGTGGGGTATTTGGTTGAGGAGCTTAGAGATGAGAATGCTTATAAAATGTTTTGTAAAGATCTTGAGGATGCAAATGTGTTTATTGGTTCATTGATTTTTGTGGAAGAATTGGCTTTGAAAGTGAAAACTGCAGTGGAGAAAGAAAGGGACAGGCTTGATGCAGTTTTGGTGTTTCCATCAATGCCTGAGGTGATGAGGTTGAACAAGTTGGGATCTTTTAGTATGTCACAATTGGGGCAATCAAAAAGTCCATTTTTTGAGCTTTTCAAGAAGAAGAAATCTTCTTCTGCTGGTTTTTCTGATCAGATGTTGAAGCTTGTGAGGACATTGCCTAAGGTTTTGAAGTATTTACCAAGTGATAAAGCTCAAGATGCTAGGTTGTATATACTAAGTTTGCAGTTTTGGCTTGGAGGTTCACCTGATAATTTGGTGAATTTCTTGAAAATGATATCTGGTTCTTATGTTCCTGCTCTTAAAGGGATGAAAATCGACTATTCGGATCCGGTTTTGTACTTGGATAGTGGAATTTGGCATCCTTTGGCTCCTTGTATGTATGATGATGTGAAGGAGTATTTGAATTGGTATGCAACAAGGAGAGATACTAATGAGAAACTCAAGAGTTCAAATGCTCCTGTTGTTGGTCTGGTTTTGCAGAGGAGTCATATTGTTACTGGTGATGAGAGTCATTATGTGGCTGTGATCATGGAATTGGAGGCAAAAGGGGCTAAAGTTATCCCAATTTTCGCCGGTGGGCTAGACTTTTCGGGGCCGGTTGAGAGATACTTCATTGATCCTATTACAAAGAAGCCTTTTGTGAATTCAGTAATATCACTTACTGGTTTTGCACTTGTTGGAGGGCCAGCAAGACAAGATCATCCAAGGGCTATTGAGGCTTTGATGAAGCTAGATGTGCCTTATATTGTGGCATTGCCTTTGGTTTTCCAAACAACAGAGGAATGGTTGAACAGTACTTTGGGGCTGCATCCTATTCAGGTGGCTCTACAAGTTGCTCTCCCTGAGCTGGATGGAGGCATGGAGCCCATCGTATTCGCCGGTCGCGATCCAAGAACAGGCAAGTATACTTCTTTGTTCTTTCCCTTAGCAATGTTGATTTCCATTTTTATTAGATATGAAATGCAAAAATATATTTAGTTTGATTAGTTTTCCTAACATTACTTGAAATATGCAGGGAAATCACATGCTCTTCACAAAAGAGTGGAGCAGCTTTGCACCAGGGCAATCAAATGGGGAGAGCTAAAGAGAAAAACAAAGGTATGCGTGCTGAAATATTGGTTCTTGCCCCCTAGTCTTGAAATATTGGTTCTATTCATATTGGTTTAGATTAAAAGATAAGATTTTTTTACTGGTTTTAAGGTAATGCATTGGATAATAGAAATAATGAAACACCTCAAAACGGTGCTTAGACCAAGGGTAAATTTCACAAATGGTCATATAACTTAGTTATTCCAATGACAATTGATTTGATATGAGAAAGTGTAATTAACATTGTCAATTGCTTGCAAATACTTGACAAGTAATTGACAATATCAAGTTGTCTTAGAGCAACGGTCAAGTTGTCTCCGTGTCCGTGTGACCTATAGGTCACGGGTTTGAGCCGTGGAATCAGCCATTGATGCTTGCACTAGGGTAGGCCCCTTTGCCCTTCCCCAGACCCTGCAGGATGCTTTGTGTACCGGGCTGCCCAATTACTCACAAATCCTGATTAACATGAACCAATTTCTTTGAGTAAGTGGAAATTAATATGGACCATTGATAGAACTCTTTTATCTTTCACTTAGAAATACTATTTGATGTAGAGATGTTTAAGAGTTCCCTTCTTCTATTGTTTAAACTTTGATCACTTTCATTAGGACTTCAGCAAGTCTCATGGATTCTGAAATGACTGTTTTGATATTTTATCATGATCACAAGTTGCAAATTAGGATAAAATTCTCGTACGCTACCAGGAATTTTCCATTTTCCTGTTTAGGGTCAGAGTTGTACAATTTCTCTATCTTACAATGGTCATAGACTAAAGGGACAACAATATTGAAACTTGGAGACCTGTGGTTCCCTTTTCATAATTCTCCCTAAATGTGTATTATGATCTTTGTTAGCTAGAATTAGAAGGGGAGCCTTGGAGTAACTGGTAAAGTTGCTGCCATGTGACAGGGAGGTCATGGGTTCGAACTGTGGAAACAACCTCTTGTAGAAATACAGGGTAAGGCTGCATATATAAGACCCTTGTGGTCCGGCTCTTCCCCGGACCCTGCGCATAGCGGGAGCTTAGTGCACTGGGCTGCTCTTTTATTAGCTAGAATTATTTGGTGGATTTTTTAATCTAATTATGTTGCATTATAACAATTTCTGCTACTGATGCTCAATGTGTAACCTAACAATGTGCAGGCTGATAAGAGGTTGGCAATCACTGTCTTCAGCTTTCCTCCAGACAAAGGCAATGTTGGAACTGCTGCATACTTGAATGTCTTTGCCTCCATATACTCTGTGCTCAAAGATCTCAAGAAAGACGGCTACAATGTTGAGGGGCTGCCTGAGACTTCTGCAGAACTGATTGAAGAAGTAATTCACGACAAAGAAGCTCAGTTCAGCAGCCCAAATCTTAACATAGCTTACAAGATGAGCGTTAGAGAATACCAGAAGCTAACACCCTATGCTACTGC